TCCATGGTCAGCATTGCACCCCCTTACATCATCTCGCTTCATCTTTAGAGCCTCCCTAAGGAATTAGTATTCACCTCTCAAAGATAAATTAACTAAGTTTAGAGATGTTAAGTAACTTGTTCAAGATAACACTGTAGTAAGTGGAGAGCTGAAATTTGAACTTGGGGCTTTCTGATGCCCAAGTCCAGGCTCTTGAGCCAGGCGTGTGAGGGGACTGGAGGCTGAGCTGAAGGGTGGGCAGAGTAACTGGGGAGACATTTGTTATAATCAGTAGAGGGTGGGGGCATCCTGTACTTTTTGTCCTGACCCTGCGAACCTGGGCAGAACCCTGGAGATTAGAATTATGGCTAACCTCCTCATCCTCCATCTTTTCTTCTTCCCTGGAAAGTGCAGACACTGTAGGGTACCCACTAGCCACCAGGCAAATAACTAATGGCCCCTAGAAAGTCTCACATGCAGAGATGTACCTGAGAAGTACCTGAATGTGTGTGCGTGTGTGTGTGTGTGTGTGTGTGCGTGTGTGTGTGTGTGTTGGGGGGGGACAGGGGCTCTTCTGTCCTGAGGCTCACAGATGTGATCCATTAACAATGAGCTCTGCCATGGCTTGTAAATTTATTAGGAGAACCTAGTGTAATTAAAATTCCGGGTTATCAGGAGGGGGAGCAGAGAGACTGCTTTCTTTCCTTCTTCCAGAGATCCAGGCCAAAGTACCGATGGGGATAATTAGCAGAGTCCAAACAGAAAAGGAATTAATGCTCCTGAAAAAACCGTGATGGAGAGAGACAATGCTGGACTAATTACGACCTCACCAAGCTTTATAACTGGGTGCTGCTTCTACCTTCATTAAGGGATTCAGAGAGAAAACGGAGACTACTGTGGAGTGTTACAGCTAGCAGAGTATAGGCATTCATTTAGCAATTATTAGTATTATTTTTTTGGCAGATGATGACTGGACCTTTGTGCCTGATTGGTCAGGGCATGTGGTCCCTTTGAATATGGAGATCAAGGCTAGGGTGATGGGCGAGGGGCAGGCAGAGAGCCAGATTCTTTACTCTCTCCTCCTCTCCTGTTTGTACCTTGCGCCTAGTCAGGGCTGCCCGGGTCCAGGTGGACAAGAAAAGCAGATCAGCAATAGAGAGAAGGGCGGGATGAGGCTGCATCACATACCTGCAGCGTCCAGAGCTGGATGCCCTGCTCACTCCGACTTTCAAAGTTCCCTCCGATTCCAGTTCCTAAGTGTGGCCCTGTCCTTCCGTCCTTAGCAGGCCTCTTTCTGATAGCAGGGTGCCACCAAACTCCACCAGGTCTTTCTTTCCCCTGCCTTCCCCCACTCCAGACAGCCTGGCACAGACCCTCAAGAAACCTGGCCTGATCCAGATGTCTCAACCTTAGTCCTAATTATCTGCAGCCACATGTTATACCCCCAACTCTGATGACAGGGAGGACAGACGAACATCAGAACAGTTAGATGAGACACATCTCTTATACAGAGCTTGGAGGGATGGAGCATTCTGGATTTACCTTCCCCACTCTTGAAGTTCCCAAGTCCGAAGAAGAGAACTTCTAGAATGGTAAATACAAGGACTCTACAACACCTACATACTGGACCCTCGTTCTAGAATCCTGAAGCTCAAGGCACACCATAGAATAAGAACATCACCATGTGAGGTTCTAATGCCAGGATCCTCAAAGGCAAAAGCTATAAAATTCCTTTCTTCCAGCAAGAAGGGAGGGAGTGACTGCTTATTCAGTTATAGAAACAGGACTTCTGTGTTTTGATGACATGCTGTGCATTTAATGTGCTATCACAAGCAGGAAAAACATTATCTGTGCGGCAAACGGCCAACTTCAAAGCCAGGTGGCTGAATCAAAGAACATCTCAGAGTCATTAGAGAAGTGAACAAACATCACACACATCCCACGGCCATAGGGAAGCAAGAGAATAGCCACTGCTGGCTGCCAGCCTCGAAGGCGCAGGGCAGCTCAGGGTCTCCCACGGAGTTCCTGCATTTTCCGGAACACCTCTGACCCTCTGCATACTACCTCAAATCCAGAGCCCACCATACCCACACCCAACACTCTGCAACTTGGCCTATGGAAAAGGTTGAAAGAAAGGTGGAGAAATGCCCATCAGTATCCCCTTGTTGGGGGAGGGGGCAGTGTATTAAGGCAAAGCACACCCTTTGCTTTTAGAGTTTTAAAGACAAGGGGGAACTTGCTTTTAGCTGGGACAGTTTGTGTCAAGGTGTTTCCAAGTCGGGGTCTGTTTGACTGAGATTTCCTGTGCAATCCCTAGCACAGACCTTGGCAAAGAGGAGTGTCCCAGTAAATGACAGCGGAGTCTGAATCTCAATTGTTGAATCTTAGGATGTTACTAGAAATCCCATGAGGCAGAGACTTAGAGCAGGAGGAAAACAATGATAAAGGGGACTGGGCACACGCTAGCCACTTGCATTTTTCATGCAACTACAAATAAATAACACAACACCCAGCATCCTCTGACTGGAGAATGTGGACCAAGGCAGTGGCTCTGGGGTGCAGGGAGTAGGCTGGGAAGTGGGATATCTGGGGTCTTGGTACTGAATGCACAGCATCTTCCCAGACCTGTGTTCACCTAAACCCCAAAATCCTGAAGCAACTCCCAGTCTCTTTCTTTTTGCTGTGATCCAGAACCTTCTTCTGCCTCCCTCATCTGTTTCAGTCCCTCAACTTGGCCCCTGGGGTTCCTGAGGCTCGTGACTCAGCAGCAAAAGTTAAAGTTCCCCGGGGCTGCAACTCAAACTTGCTTTCTGGAGCAGCCTGCAGGGAAGACATACTGATTCATTCCGGCCTGCTGGTTCTCATTCCTCAGCCTCTCTCACCCTCACCCTGGTGTTTAGGCTCCTATATCCCAGACTACAGGGTGTTCCTCTGGAGTCAGAACACCAGTGCCTCCAGGTATCTCTCTCTCTCTCTCTCTCTCTCTCTCTCTCACACACACACACACACACACACACACACACCCCAACTACCCCCACCCCAGCATTTCTGCCCTGGATAGACAGGAAGGGTAGTCTCCATGCCAGGTGGAACTCGACAGGTGTGTCCTCACCTTGAATTATCCCTTTAGGGCTTGAGGGTCAGGAGCAGCATTAAGGGCCCCACTGGGGATGTATCCTTGTGTGCCTGGTAGGTGTGGGGAGTTGGGTGGTGTGGGAGGTGACGGCACCAGAGAACCAAAGTCTGATAATATTTGCTGAGTCTAATTTAGTCTGAGATTCTTCAAGAAGGAGACTCAAACCCTCCAACCGCCATCACACTACCATCCTCTAAAAGTTCATGTCTAATCTGAGTCCCTTCTGCTGTAGTAATTAACCCATTGATTAAACATTGCCAAGGCCAGAGAGAGAGCAGCGCCCCCTACAACAGCACACAGAGCTGAGGCGGGCCCACCTCAGGCTGGACACAGACCCCTCATACACGCAGGCTCCCCGGCCCACGACTCTCCTCCCTCTCCTCTACCTCCTGCGGCCTGGTCCTAGCCTAGGACCTACCTATATCTCTGACCTTTAACCTCAAGTGAAGTCAGGACCTGGAACCCACGGCCTCTGGGAAGCTTTCCCCACCTGTACACGCTCCCGTAATCCCCGCAACAATCTCCGGTTTCTAGTCCCAGGAGAAGTGCGTGGAGACCAAATTCCCGCCTCTCGCAGCCCCTTCTCCCTTTCCCACGCCGGTGGTGCGGAGCCGTGGGGCAGTCTCCGCGTACCCCTAGGCCCAGCGCCACTGGGGTCAGGGCCCGGGGGACAAGGAGGGCTGGAGTCTGCAGAGCAAAAGGAACCCGGGAGCCTTGGTCCCTGCAGGACCTCCCCACCCCCACTCTGCATTCTCTCGAAGACTCGCGCAGCCCCCTGCCCCTCCCCCTCGGAGGGAAGGCGACCCGGTACTCCCTCCCGGCCAGGACCCTCCAGACGTCGGGATCCGGACAAAGAAGCTCGGCTGCAGCGGGAGAGCGTGGCCGCAAGGCACTGGTGCGACAGGTAAATACCCGGGGCCAGCCGGCCGCCGCGCTGCCCACCCTCCCGCGGCTCCCGCTGCCAGGGCGCGACACGCCATTCCCGCTGTCGCGACTCCAGGGAGACGCTGCAGCTGCGCGCGGGCCCCGGCCCCGGCCCGCGGGGCTCGAGCTCCGGACTCACCGGCTCCGGCGAGCTCGACTCGGTTTGGGCTCCCGCCTGGGCTCGGTGGCCGCCCGGGGCTGCGTCGGGCGCAGGGTCCGCGCCGTTCGGGCAGGAGGCGCCCGCTTGGCAAAGTCGGCGAGAGGCACCGGCTCAGTCGCGCACCGGCCCGGAGTCCGAGTGAGTCAGAGAGAGACCAAGGGAGCGTGTTATAGGGGCGAGGGTGGGGGGAGGATGCTGCGACACCCTCCCCCACCCCGCCCCCCAGCGGAGGCGCAGAAAGCCACTTGCAGCGGGAGAGACACCAGGACACAAAGACCTCGTGCCAGCCTCAGACCCAAGTTTCTCCCTGAGAGACCCAGGGGGCTCGGGCCGCATTCCCCGAGAGAACAGACAAACGGATGGACAGACCGACAGGCAGGCCCTGGAGGCTCGACATCTGAAGAGACGAGTTACTTCCTCAGCCGGGATGTCCCCGGTGTCCTGCTCGCTGCACAGCCCTTTCCCCTGGCAGATCGCCCGCAGGACGAGCGGAGAAACGCGAGGGAAACTGAGGCCCCAAAGGGCGTCGCATCCCGGGAGCCCAGCTTTCCACGGGGGCCCCGCAGGCTCGCAGGGCAGGGCAGGGGGGCTCTCTCCTCCAGGGTTCCCTGCGCGTTGCTCCGCTTGCCCTGCGGGCCACGGGCCAGGGTACTGGCAGAGCTCGTTGCGAATCCAGAATCCTGAGCTGGAGTTCTCTCTCTAGGTCCGGGAGCTCTCGAGGCCAGAGTTTTGGGGGGCTGGGGAGTGGGGACAGTCAGAGCGACAAACCAGGAAAGGAGGGGGCCTCGGGTTTCGCGTTACCTGCGTGGGCCGCGCTCGGACTCCGCTCTGGGGTCTGTGTCTCGAAGCTCCGACAAGTCTCCACGTCCAGCCCGAGAGGGGGCGGCCGGGCCCGGCACAACGAGGCCAGGACTGCGAGCGCCGCTTGGCACCGAGGCCCTCCGGCCCCCCACACCCCGCTCATGCCCGGGACACCCGAGCCCTCCAAGCAGCCGCGGAACCCGCGTCGCGGCCGGACTGGGGCGGGGCAAGGCGGCCCCAAGAAGACCCTCCCGGCAGCGGCCCCCTGCGGCTCAGCTCGGCTTTTAATCACTTCCCCACAGGGTCTCCGCCCCTCACGTGGCATCCCGCGGCAGCTGGCAAGTCTGGCGCCTCGCGGCCGCCCCCTCCACACTCAGGGACGGGTCTGAGTCCCGGCGGGCTTGAGGAGATGGAGCCCGGTTGTCCCGCATCCTGGAGGGTGCAAGGCCCGGGAAGGAGCCTGGGATCTGGCTCCGCATTCGCTGCCTGGTGTGACCTTGGGCCTCTCTGGGCCTCAATTTCCCTCTCTGTAAGGGAGTATAATGTTTACGAGTGCTTCACGGGCTGACTGGGGATATGAAGATAGTGTTTGTTACAACATTGGGTAAATTGGCACATGCCACACAAGTGGCAACGAAATAGGTAAATCTATTACAAAGAGAAGGCCGACCAGCTGGGGTGAGGGGACCTCGGCCAAGGTTCCTGACGGGAGAAGTTAGACTTGCCCCGAGTCCCAGCCTTGGAGGCAGAAAACCCTCAGACTGCGGGGCAATGAAAAGTGCAAAAAGTCTTTCCGAGCCCCGCAATCCTGCGGTCCGCGGTACCCGCACGTTGCTATGGCGACGGGAGGCAGCGGCTGTCTCTCTCCATGGCAACGGAAGGGGAAAGTTTCTGGCGAATAGAAATGGGGGGGGGAGGGCATTTCAAGAGGGCGCTCGATTCTCACTAGACCCCCCCTTCCTGCATCCATACAACACCACGGAGGTGATGTATGTTGCAGTAAGGTATAGCGAGGGCCGAAAAGACCAAAACTAAACGGGAGGATGGAGGCTAGACTTAAGGCAGAACTCCACTGAGAAACTGGTGTGAGGTCCAGGAGCAGGTTGGCGGAGGGGCTCGGAGGAGCTTCACTCAGCCTTGGAGATGTATGAGCCGCCACCGGGGCAACCCTGCAGGGGCCGTCACAAAGATCTCCTGTCCTCGTCCTGTCGGCGGGTGGACCCCTTCCTATGTGGGGCTCACACGAAAGCTCCAGGCTCGAGTTCCTTTGCCTTCCTGGAGCAGGGAAGGAAACTTTAGCTGGAGCCTCCGGAAGCCGGGTGGCGGGTGGAGGAAGAAGGTCTTTCCTCCTAATTAACACGCTAATTGCAAGTGGCTCGGGTGGTGACTCACGATCTGGCGGGAGGAGATTCCGAGCCCCAGCTCCTGCCCGTCTCCACCATGCACCATCTGCGCCAGCCGTGCTAGCCCGCCCTTGGTTATGAGAAGCGCAGGCATCTAGTGCCCCAGAACGAAGGACCGAGCGAGGCCCGAGTAAGAGGACCCTGATCTAAACAAGCGAGTTTTCCTGTTCAGACTGACTCCCTGACTCTGTCCACGGTGCTGAAGGACCAGTCGTTGCAACCATCGCGTGGGAACAGGGTTAGGGAAGGGGTGGGGTGGGCAATTGCAGCTGGTTCGCAGCTTCCGCCCTGACCCCCTGCAGTAGAACAGGGCTAGAAACGCAGGTAGGAGGAACTGAGCTGGCGTGATCCGGGCGACACTATGCAATCCAGGCCGCCTTCCTGTGGGAGGTGTTCAGGTGCTGTCCCAAGAAGAGGTGAGGCTGTGGAGTCCCCATTTGCCTCCCGGTGCTCTAGAACCCACCTGAGGAACCCAGAGGTCCCGTCACCCTCCCTTCCACCGCCCAATGAGAAACTCAGCACCAGTGAGCTGAGAGGCTCCTTGTTACCGGCTCATTAGCAGTTTCCGAGGTGGCAGGGTTGTGTTTATGTAAAATATAAATGGAGACGAAATGCTCTCTGCCCATGTTTATGGCAACTCTGTCACTCCGCGGCGATCTCTCCCTCCCCCTCTCGAGTTCCCAGGGAAATTCGCAGAACAAAGCGCCTTGTTTTGCCTTTGCAGAGAATGATGCACACACACACACACACACACACACACACACACACACAGGATTCCAAGGGCCCAGACCTGTGAGGCAGAGAAATCAATATTTTGCTTAACAATGAGGTGGGGGGGGTGGGTGATTTACATCTAAACTGAAGGCAAAGGAGCCTGTTAGGAGCAGAGCAGGTGGCAGGAGCCCAGAATTAAGAGATAATTTCTCATTGTTCCCGGATTCAGCCTCCACACTCGGCAGGCGGTTCTGCAGCATCTCTGGCGCGGCAGCAGCTCTGGACCTGGCCCTTCTCAACCCACCAGGGTGAAGGAGGCTCTGCTCTGACAGGGCTGTGGGAAGGGGCTGCAGCTCTCGGGTCAGTCAATAACTACTGAATTTGGAATGCTTGTGTGTATGAGTGTGGGTGGGAGAGGCAGAGAGAAAGACACAGAGACAAAAATAGAGATAAGAGAAAGACAGAGGCAGAGGATGAGACAGAGACACAGAGAGAGACAGAGAACAGAGAAAGAGAGACAGAGTGACTGACACACATCGAAAGGGACACTCGCTGAGAAAGGAGATATAAAAGAAACAATTGTGGTTTTTTTCTCTTACATTAAGAAAAGGCTTCACCCTGGTTGTCATCTTCATGTCCTCTCCCCCAGGTCAATTGCTAATATCTATAGTCACATCACCAGCCACAAAGAAGATTAAAAATCCTCATGTAAGATGGGGACTTTTCCTCTCCAGAAGCCCTTTCTCCCACAAACCCACTCTTAAAACATGCTTCTTCCTATATGAAGAAACCAAATTCAGACTTGCAGGATCCTACCCAGACCTGGGGAGGAAGGGAGGGAGGGAGGGAGGAGGGAGGGAAGTGGACTTGTTGCCCCTCAGTGCTGTGTCTCAGAGAAAGACCATTCTGGTTTGAACTTAGGGGTGGGGAGAGAGAAGGAGAAGCAGACAGTCAGCATGGCACAGTGGCAAACAAGGGCACTGGGCAGGGCACCAGCAGGCTGGGTTCCAGGACTGGTGCACCAAACCAGCCATGGGGCAGTCACATCCATGGCAGGGCATCAATTTTCTTATCTGCAAGACCATGAGTTTGAATAAAGAGCTCTTTAGGGCTCCTTCCAGCAGCAACACTCGAGAATTTTACATGAAGGGAAGGGAGGAATCTGAGGGGAGAAAGGAAGGAGCTGGACAACTGAAGAACAGTTTTTCCTGGTTCTGAACAAGAGGGTGGTGGTACAGAAGTCCAAACTCACTTTGGGCTTCCCTCCTCCATTGCTCTTATCTCATCTGTAGCCATTGCTGGAGCAACCTGAATCTGGGACCCCCACCCCATCCCCTGCCCTGCCACTGGCCAGACTGCTCAGAAGCAGAGAGGGGACTTGGAGGTGGGGTGCAAGGCAGAATGAGAGGAGATTTGAGGCAGAAACCAACAGCCTCCCTCCCACTCCTTTGCCCTCATCTCGGAAATAGCCAAAATGCACACCTCTACCCCAACCCAAGTCCCTTCAGCAGTGGCCTGATTGCCCTTGGACAGGTTCCCACCCTGCTCTGAGCAGCAATGTCCTGTTGAGTTGTGCTACAAATAAAATAAATGAAAACAAAATAATAATTTCTTTAAAAAATGCCAGCCTGGTAGGAAATTGCTAATGCTGTAGGCGGGAAGAATCAGCTCCTTTGACATGAGCCGATGTGTCATATAGTCTTTCCATCTCAATGCGATTTCTAAATAAGGAGCTCTTCCCCGTTCCCTCCTCCCTCCAAGCCCCCAGCAGAGATGTGAAGGGAGCAGTCTGATGTTCATAGCTGGATTGTCTGACGTGCAGGCACAGACAGAAATAAAGCGAGAGGACCCCTTGCTTTGCTCACCCTACCTGGAGGATCTCTGATCTTCCTTTCCCCACCTCCCACATCTCCTGCTTACTGAGGCACATGGCCACTTTCTGCAAAGGTTTTTAATTTACGTTAAGAAAACAGACATCAGTCGAACCTGTCCTACTGCTGGTGGAGAACTAAGTTGATGTCCTACATTGGGCAGTGGGAGTAACTTTACACCACTGTTTGGAAAACACTCAGCTATGGAATCTCTATGGGGTTTCAATCAGAACAGCTTTATCATCAGTATTTCCAGTAGATGTCACCCTCTGCCACCCCCCATCCCCAACACCAATAGAGCAACTCTAGCCAAAGCTGGGTGACTAATGCAAACTATGCCATTCCAAGCCATCAGGAGAGTTTTCAGGAATTCCTCCTTGCCTGAAAAGATGCAGAAGACATTGCAGAGCCCTGAGTCAATGACCAGTCTTGCTTTTATTCTATTAAAGACGCTCAGCGATACACACCTCCTGAGCCAGGGCTAGATTTGCCTCTATCTTACTCCTGCCCCAGTTCAGAGGTTTTATGTCTGTTCTGTGCTCTGCGCTGTAGTGCACATGTTCCAGATGAGCCTCGGGAAGACTGGTCTCAGTTTGAGCTCCAGCGGTCTGGGGACCAGGGAAGCAGATAGGAGTTCAAAGTCAGAAGGCAAGATCACCCCTGAAACATTTTCAGAGCTGGACCTGACCATGATGGATCCAGAGCTCTCTCTATTACTTGAGAAGTAAGAATGATATTGGAGGGGAAGGGCTAGGAAGGAAGAGAAGTACACGCCTCTTCACTGACCTTGTATAGAAAACAGAACACAGGTTTTGGCACTAGACAGACCTGTGTTCAAATCCTGGCTCTGTTACTTACCAACTGTATCACATTAAGTACTGTACTTAGCTTTCTGAACCTCAACTTTCTCACCTGTAAAATGGGACCTAAAATGCCTGATTTATAGGATACAAGAATTATAGAGTTAGGTTGAGTGCCTAATATATACTGACTGATTCATGGCAGGTGTTAAATGACACTGCCTGTCCTCTTCCTTCCCTCTCTCAGATCACAGGGGGACATCCAGCAGGCACACTGTCCAGAGGTTAACCCTAACTCTTCCATCAGGCAAGTCGCTGAAGGTTGCCAAGGGGGAACTTATCTCATTTAATCCTATAACAAACCCGAGAGGCAGA